TGCTATGAACATTTGGGGTGCATGTATCTGTTTGAATTATAGTTTTATTCAAATATATGCCCAGGAATGGGATTGCTGGGTCATATGGTAGTTCTATTTTTAGTTTTTGAGGAACATTCATATTATTTTTCATAGTGACTGTACCAATTTACATTCCCATAAATGGTGTAGGAGGGTTCCCTTGATTGTGAATTTTTTGATGCTTAAATAGAATTCTCAAGCCCTTCTGGGAACCACTCCCAGAGGAGGATTCATAAAATCAAGCAAGAGTTTGCTTTTCCTTCTTGAGCTTCTATTTTGAGATAAATTGAGTCAATCAGTATTAAGTATAGGGACTAAAAGTGTCAACCTATTCTGGGAACACCTTCATTTCTGAAGGCAGTAACCATGGGGTGACTTTTTTTTTAATAAAAAATAATGTCTGTGGGTGAGAACCCCACTCTGGCCCCAGAAACCATTTTCCCTCTCTCCCCTCCCCGCCTCTCCCTCCCTCCACATCTTTATCCATCCATCTGTTGATGGGTACTTCATTAACTTTTTAGATTGAAGTAAAACACACACATTCTTCAGTCTAAAAAGTTAATGAAGTTTCCATCAATAGATGAATAGATGGAGAAGATTTGGTTCTAAATTCAGCAGGTTATCCCAAAATCATGTACAGAAAAAGTGTCTACAAAACTCCCTTCGGCAGGAGCAGATCTCAGCTTTTCCCTCTAGCACTGGTGGAGTCTGCTGCTTATTGGTTGGGNATGCAAATGTTTCTCTGGGTCATGAACTTATATTAGAACCTGCTTAGTGTGTTATATTTTTCCATTTCAGCTGGTCTTTAACCTGTGTTAGAAAAATAGCTTTTAAATGGCACAGTATGCTTCTCTGTAATTGCATTACTGGCATATGGACAATGCCTGAATATCAAACAGGTCAAGGAATTGCATGTATCATAGTGAAAGCAAATGCACATTTATGGATTTTTCTGATTGCAGAAGGGGACTTGGAGATGTAGATTTGTCTCTCCCTGCCCTGAATCCCAGAGCATTATAGGAAAACAGAGGCAGTCTCTTTATTGGCAAAACAATCATTCACAATCAAATTGCCCTTTACAGATTGCGAAGTGTGCTTATGTGCACTATCTCTTTTTTTAAAAAAATATTACATTGGAGTATAGTTGATTTACAATGTTGTGTGAGTTTCAGGTGTATAGCAAAGTGGATCAGTTATAAATATACATATATCCACTCGTTTTTAGATTCTTTCCCCATATGTAGGCCGATACAAGGTCTTGAGTAGAATTCCCTGTTCTATACAGAAGTTTCTTATTAGTTATCTATTTTGTATCTCATTTAAATTGCCGGGAATGCATAGAACATTAAAGAATTTGCCCAGAACCACACTTGGTAAATGTTGGAATTCGGTGGCAAACCCAGGTCCTCTGAGTTCCAATGTTTTCTCCAAAGCCTGTGATGACTTAGAGAGCTGTCCTGGGCCTTGACCGCAAGGAGCAGGAGTGGGGCTCAGCAGTGGTCAGGACCCTGGACAGGAGCAGAGGCTGCTCCTTCCGTTCTGCATTTATCTCCTCCCCCTTTCCTATGGCTCCCACCCTGGGCTCAGGTAATACACCCCTGTTCCCTTTCTTTCCTTCCTCTTTTCCAATCACTTCATCTTCCCTGCCCATGCCTTTAGCCTAGAACCACTCAAGAAGACTTTTCAGAAAGAAAAATATTATCAAGAGTATCCTAGTGTTGATTTTAATTGTTTTTACTATATATTATTATAATTGATGATTATATCATTCTTACATAATATGATTTTATTAGACTTGCACATTACACAACATAGTCTTTAGTATATTTGAATACAATATGATTATATATTTATAATTCATAATGTAATTACATGTGCCCAGTGATAAAACTGGTTCATAAATGTTTACAGCTTTTCTAAACAATAAAGTCAACATGAATGAACAGATTAGAAAGAAACTAGTGAAGCCACAAATTTCAAGATCCAAACTTATTGTAACTTAGTGTGTCAGATGATACTATTTTACTTAAACTGAATTTTTTTTTGTAAGTATAATGCCCTTTGACAGTTGCCTGAAAATTGATTCAATGTTCCTACTGCTGATCCCTTTCAAACTCCTACAAAATCTTTGATTCTTAAGCACACATGAAGGTGTGTGGCTTTCACTGTGCATGAAAACACCATTTACATTAGACTTTGTTATCTTTTCATTATCTTGGGGCAGTCAAGATGCTAATTCTTCAAGTCAGTGCAGACACACTCACACACACACACACTCACTCACACACTCACACAAATGCAGACATTAAAATTTAGTATGGGGATTTCCCTGGTGGCCCAGTGGCTAAGACTCCAGGCTCCCAATGCAGGGTGCTTGGGTTCAATCCCTGGTCAGGGAACTAGATCCACATGCTGCAACTGAGTCTACATGCCACAGCTAAGACCCAACACAGCCAAATAAATAAATAATAAATATTTTTAAAAAATTCAGTACCAAGTGGTAAGGAGGCACAGAATATGCTCGTATTTATTCTTTTCAGATTTCACAGAAATAAGCAAAATACCATTTTTTTTTCATAGACCACCCCCAATACTGTATCTGCAGCCCACAGCCCAAGGAACACTGTTCCAGGTCTCTCAGAATCCCCACTCCTCCCAGCTGGAGGCATTTCTGAGCCCATTGACAGCTCTCAGGACCAGGAAAGCTGCAGGACCTTGTTCTTCAGAAAAAGAATGCAGGGTGTTGGGGGTGCAGGGATCAGTGTGGTCCAGTGCTCATGAGCAGCCCCACCTGGGCTCAAATCTCTCTCCTCCACCTGCTACGTGGAGGCTACTTATTTAGGTTACTTAACTCTTGGTGCCTTAGTTCCCTTGTACATCAAGTGGGGAGAGCAATGCCCACCTCATAGGGATGCTATGAGAATTGGATGAGCTTTTAGAAAGAAGAAGAAGAAAGCAAAGGGCTTAGATCAGCTCCTGGTTCACAGGAGAAGCTCCATGAATTGCAGCTGCAGCGAAATTGAACGTTCATTCATCTCTCCTCAAGTGCTCTCATCCCCAAAGTCCGTTGCGCGCCTCTCCTGCCCCTTGCTATTTCCCATTGTGCCTGTTTTCATCTCCTGCCGCCTGCGTGAGTGTGACTGCCTGCAGCTGTAACTGGAGTTCCCCGGAGGGTCTATCCCCTCCAACATCCACTTACTTGCAGTAGAAAGATGGAGTCGCCGGTTTTTGTTACCTCCCACACTGCTGCTTCCAAAGCCGGTATCTTCACTTTCCCGTGGTCGCCCGTGTCCCTAGGAGGCTCATCTTTGTCTCACTCCTCCTTTTCAACCCGCTGTTCTTCCAAGAACTATCACCTCTCAGCTTCTGGACCTCTTTCTCTCCCATCAGTCACAAGGTGACCTCTGCTAGTCCATCCTCAGCACCTCTCCTTTTATTTTGTTTTTTATTTAAAATTTTTTTAAGACTTTAAAAAATTGAGTATAATTGATTTACAGTGTTTCAGGTGTGCAGCAAAGTGATACAGTTAAATACATATATATATGCTTTTTCAGATGCTTTTCCATTATAGGTTATTGTAAGATATTGAATATAGGTCCCTGTGCTGAACGGTAGATCTGTGTTGTTTTCTATTTCATACATTTATTGTTGTTCAGTAGCTCAGTCCTGTCTGACTCTTTGAGACCTTATGGACTATAGCCCACCAAGTTCCTCTGTCCATGGGGTTCTTCCAAGCAAGAACACTGGAGTGGGTTTCTATTTCCTTCTTCAGGGCATCTTCCTGACCCAGGGATCAAACTCATGTCTCCTGTGTCTCCGGCATTATTAGGCGGATCTTTACCACTGAGCTGCTGGGGTGTAAATGTTAATCCCAAATTTACCCCTCTCTGTCGTTCCCCTTTGTTAACCCTAAGTTTGTTTTCTGTGTCTGTGAGGCTGCTTCTCTTTTGTAAAGAAGTTAATTCATATCATTTTTTCAGATTCCACATATAAGTGATATCATATGATATTTGACTTTCTGACTTACTTCATTTAGTATAATAGTCTCTAGGTTCATCCATACCACTGCAAATGGCATTATTGCATTCTTTTTATGGTTCAGTAATATTCCACTGTACATATGTATCACATCTTTATCCACTCATCTGTCAATGGACATTTAGGTTGCTTCCATGGTTTGATTATTGTAAACAGTGCTGCTTTGAACATTGTGGTCTAACCTCCAAATGTTTATCTGCAAAGTGGAAATAAGGACTGTGCCCTTTTCTATCTGTAGTTATGGATAACTAGATTCAACAAACTGTGCGTTTTGATTCCTTCAGGGTAGACCCTGTCTCATGCATCCACTGTTTGGTGAATCCTAAGCCCTCTTACCTGGATGGCTTTAAATGTAAAGTATCCAAGACCTGGTCTGCTCCCATCACGATGCTGAGACTCTTCCCAAGGAAGCTGGACCATTTCCCAGGAAGCGAACAGTTACACAGAGGCTGGTTTTCCTCTCTTCACAATCATTATTTCAGGTCAAGAAGACGGAGCTTAGAGGGTGATTTCATACAGCTGGTGCTCGGAAAGTTCTTTGTTATCACAGTCCTGGCGATGCATGAGTCACTGGCTTTGCATCTCCAGGCAGTGGGCGTGTGCTGTCAGATTCAATTCCTGGGTCCTCGGATGTGCCCACTACTCAACAGTGTCAAACCCCCAGCACAGGAGACGCCGGAGGGGCACCGATCACTCTGTGGCAGGGAGGTGTGTGTGCACCTGTGATCTGGGCGCTGGTGTGACTGGCCGCCTTTACCCCAGGCTGTGAAAAGCCTCGTTACTCAGCAGGAATGTCAGATTATATTAAGTCCACCCCATCCTCCTCCTCCTCCTCCTCCTTCTCCTGTGAATTGTCATAGCTCGTGCACCCGCGCCTGTTGGCGAGTCTCATTTTGTCGTGTTGCAACTAAAAGCCCACATCTTTGGGGGGCCTTCTGGTCTCAAGCATGCGACCAGTACGTAAGGTGTTCTATCTCTTGCTTAGCGGCCCTTCCTTGGTGGCGCTGATTAATCCAGAAGGGCTAGATTTCATTGGAGCGGTGACAGCTTCCCCGGGTGGGCAGCTCTGGTCCTGCACGGTGTCAATGATGAAAGCTTCCAGGGTAAGTCTTCCTGCTTCTCAGCATCTTCATGGGACTGGAAGCCTGAGCAGTAGGCATTTTCTGGATTTTCCCCTAAGCAATCCAAGATACATGCATGTCTGAGGAGCATCCGTGCCCTGTTACTCCGAGGGGCGGGGAAGACCAATGTCTGCTGTCACTGCGGCATTGAGGGCGAGGCCACATGTGTCCCCCTGACCCATGCCCACCTCTGGGCTTTTTCAGGGCTAAATGACAAGTCTGGATAAATGAAATGCTATAATTTGGCAAGTAAATCACATAGTCTGTGTAGCTCAAGTGGCATCTTCACTCTCTCTGGGCTTTTACCTGGACATCTTGGGTACTGAATAGGTTTTTTCAGCATCACTGTGTGAGGGGGTTTGGCCTCTGCTAAACTGTTTTCGGTGGAGCGGAGAATTGTTTGGGGTTGAGTTTTCTTCTCAGCTGCTCTTTCTGTTCCTAGTTCCTTGAGTTGGGAGAACCGGTACAGTAAGTGGTACCCCGAGTGCAGATTCATGCTTGGACCGATTTGGGGAAGCGATGGCCATGTGTACCCCTCATTCCCCTTTTACCTGGTGATATTGTGGATCAGTGCTTCCTGGACTGGATTTAGATCCTGGGCTTTTTTCTCTTGAAGATTGATTTCATCAGGTTAACAGCTGACCTTGAATCACTGAGATGGAGTAGAGATGAAATTGATGAATGCAACTATCCTACAACCACCAGAAAACTGGATGAAAGAGCCAGCTCTGCTTCTCTTCCCGATATTGCCTTCTTGCAGTCCACTCTCCTAGGGGAGGGGCAGAGGAAGGTGATGGCGGGAATTGAGTGGGTGGTTATGGCAGATCGTGGAAGGTGCGCATACTGAGACCGTTGCCTCCAGTAGGGAAGGTGACCCCTGCCTGAGCCGCCATTGTGTGTAGGGAAATGCTTGGTACTCTAGGAGAACCATCTCATTTTATCCTCCCACTGGCTGCTGAGTAGGTGCTTTTACATCCCTCCATCTTAGAGAGTGTAGAGATACCAGGCATCCTGCCTGAGGTCATAGGGCTTACCCGTGAACCAGCTCGAGTTTGTATTTAGACAGAATGGCCTCAGGACTGACGTTCTAACCCCTCCTTGAAGTTTTTCCTGGGGTCTTCCCTGGCTGTCCAGTGGTCAAGACCTCACCTACCAATGCAGGGGGTATGGGTTCAATCCCCTGGCCTGGAGTTAAGATCCCACATGACTCATGGCCCAAAACCCAAGACATAAAATAGAAGCAATATTGTAACAAATTCAATAAAGACTTTTTAAATGGCCCACATTAAAAAAAACTTTAAAACAATATAGTAATATCAATTCCTGCTTTAAAAAAAAAAGTTTCTCCTGTAATTCTCTGAGACATGGCTGCCATTATTTCACCTTGGGGTAGGCAAGACTTCCAAGGTCAAGAGTGAGGGGTTTGGGTGCGTGTACCTATCCCTTGTGATTGCCAGTGGTTCTCATGTGGGATATCCCAGAATGTCTCCAGGTCCCCCAAGGAGCCAGCAGGGGATTACACTGTGGTTGCTTTACATAAGAAAGGGGGAAATGAATTTAAGCCTTTGGGAACATCTTAGAAGAGGGAAGCAGTTTCTCATAGGCTGGGGATCATTGTTCTTCAGAACCAAACACAGAAGATGCTATAGAGGGGAGGAGACTGTAATGACTGTGGCCTAGGGTAAGGGGCTTGACTGAAATATAGGACCTGAAAACAGCAGGAGGACCCTTTCTCCTTGTGGGAGGTGTCTGTAACCCTATGATTCCTGTTCCTTTCTTATCGTGAGTGTGAATGCGACCAAGTTCAGACCACTTGAAGTATTACAGAGGAGATTCCCAAGTCAATTCAGATGTGGGTGATCCCCAGATAGGAACTCACTTAGGAGACGAGCAGAGAACACACTTGAAGAATCAAGCAAAGAAACCGGCAGACCTGACCGCAGGTGGCTATTGCTGTCACCTTCCACTGTGGGACACTCACTGTCCCTGTGGCTTCTTCCTGATGCTTTTTAATGGGTGCCATTCTTCATCTTTGTGAGAGCCCTCCACTTGCTCCTGAGGTGTCCTTTTCAGGTCACTTCACTATTTTTATTTCTTCTGGAGTCAGTTCATCCTGATGACCAATTTTGTTAAATCTCTTTAGCAGTGTGAGTTTTCTTTCTGTGTTTTGTTATTTCTGTTTTCAGACTCATCTTTTACAGGAGATTTTTACGCCCTAACTCTCTTTCCTGTCTGGGCTCACCCTCTGCTCTGGTCTTACTTCTTTGTCACTCTGTACCATCCCATGGATGCTCCTGGTCTTGAATTGGGTTCTATTATTGGTAGCTCAGAGTTCCTGCACAGGTGATACCACTGAGCCAGTGGGTCTGGTCTCCCTGCCTCTCCACCACACTACCTTGTCTGTGCCGGAGCTCTGGGCAGCAGTCTTTGGGAGTGGGGGACTTGACCTCAGCCTTGGTTCAGGCAGTACCTTGGTCTCTAGCCTCAGGTGGGACACTTTCAGTTCTTTATAGCCTAAAATAATTGGACTCCTAATTTTGTCTGCCTATTTCTGGACTCAGAATCTGGTGAGTCCCAGGAGTTCCACTCATGATATGTGCTCCAGCCTTCCATAGCCCTCATAGATTTTTTTGCCTTCTTTTTGAGCAAGACAAACCTCTAAGTGTTTTCTGTATTTTTTATTATGGCAATATGTTTGGAGTAGTGCTTGTGAGGAAAGGGGGCAGGTCAGAGCCTGACATAAAGTCCAGATGAAGAGCAGTTCTGTTGCCTCTTTAGGACACAAGGGTGCATTGCAGGTCAGCACATAATGTATCAGATGTGATTTATCTTCTGGACACTTCACTACAGGCTTTATAGATATTATTTTATTATCTCCTCGTAACGTCATCGTAAAGTATCCCTCCTCCCGTTTTATAGAGTAGGAAACTCGTGGCTCGGAAAGAGGAAAAGACACGCCTCCCACACCACAAGGCTTGTGAATCACAGAATCACACCCAACCCCAATCTGATTTCAAATCAGAACCCTTCACCCCCATCCGCATGTTAGGATGTCATCTCATGATGCCCTTTCCTTTTGTTCTAGGAAAATGCACTTAAGGAAGCTGCCCAAGGAGACCATCGCCTGAGGCCCCATTATGCAGGCCTTCCCGCAAGGGCCCGCCAGCTCGACAAGGTAACTGGGAGCTGGGGTGTCAGGGAGGAGCCCAGGGAAGGTGGAAGGGGATGACTCACTGAACTCCACCCAGACGACAATGTCTGGGACCCTGGTCACACCTCTTCTATTTCATCATGTGGCCACTGCACACAGCCCTAGAGAAATGTCTCATTTGCTGTCTGCTAGGCATCCCCACGTAGAGATCTATTCAGTCACATAAGGGGCCAGAACAAAACTTCCCATGTCTTCTCCACCAAACCATTGCCTCTCCTAGTTTTTCTCATCCCAGTAAATGACCATCCCTCCAATTGCTCAGGCCAAGATGCTCTGAGGGGTCCTTTATGCCTCCTTTACCCCTCACTCTCTGACAGCCCCCAGCCCTCCCATTTCCAATCCCACTGTGTCTCACAAACACAGGCTGCTGTCTTCTTCTGCCTGAATGGTGAAACAATCTCCTAACTGGCCTGCCTACCTCCCTTCTTAATGTCCTACAATCAGTTTCCAGCATGATCTAGAGTGATCTTGTGACTCAAACCGGACTATGTTGCTCCTCAGAGTAAAAACCTTCTCCCAAAATAACAACAAAACTCCTCCCTGTGGCTGCCGTCTTGCTCAGCCTTGTCATCTGCCTCTCCATCTTTGATTCCTGAAGTTCTGTTGACGCTGACCTTTTTGCTCCTCAGACCACCAAGCTGGTCTGTGTGCCATGACTTTCTCTGCTTAGAACTCTGCTCCCTCTTTTTCAAATAGCCACCAGCCTCTTGCTCTTCATGGTGAGCAAGCTAAACCTTCACTGCCTCCAGCTACCCATCCCCTTCCTTTAATTATGTGGCTTCACTCAGCTTTTATCTTCTTGTGAGTCTCATCACTTTGTTGGTTGATCACATCTTGACTTATGTGTCTGTCTGTCCACCCTGCAATAATGTCAGCTGCTAGGTAGCAGAGGTCTTTGAGCTGTTATTCATCACCGTATCCCTAGTACCTATCTCAGGACACATCGTAGGTGCTTGGTGAATATTAGTTAATGATCAGTTGTTGGTTTGAAGCCGCTAACTTTCCATAATTATAGAGTGTTTATTTCAAAGAATAACTGTGTCCTAACAATTTATTGTAAAAAAGTAGAGCTTTTTTGATTTTACACTTCTTTTCCTGCCTTCTTGTTTTCCCTTAAAAAAAAGAAAAAGATCTGCTTTTCAGGAAATAAGAAGTGTTAGAGAGGATGTGAAGAAATTGGAGCCTTGTGCCCTGTTGGTGGGAATATAAAATGGGGCAGTGACTATGGAAAACAGGATGGCATATCCTTAACAAATTAAGAATAGAATTACTCCATGATTCAGCAATTTCACTTCTGGAGATACACCCCAAAGGATTAAAAATAGGATTAAGAAGAGATATTTGTCCATTCATGTTTATAGCAGCTTTTATTCACAATAGCCAAAAGATGGAAGCAACCCAAGTGGCCATCTACGAATGAATATTATCAAATGTTATATAAGATGCAGCATATATGTGTGTGTGTGTGTGTGTGTGTGTGTGTGTGTGCACTAAGTCACTTCAGTTTCGTTGCAACGCTATGAACTGTAGCCCACCAGGCTCCTCTGTCCATGGGATTCTCCAGGCAAGAATACTGGAGTGGGTAGCCATTTCCTTCTACAGGGGATCTTCCTGAAGCAGGAATCGAACCCAGGTCTCCTGCATTGCAGGCGGATTCTTTACCATCTGAGCCACTAGAAAGTCCCACATTATGTGTATTTTACTGCAATTTTATCAAAAAGATGTGCTTTTAGTATGCCTCCAACTCTCCCTTTAAATCCATTCCCCCATATTCCTGCCAACCCCTGTGCCTTCTCTCCTCTTTCCTTGCCTAACCTGCTCTCAGGAAAGGCTCTGATAAACTCACACACCGTGAGGTGTGAATCCATCATGAGGCTTGGTGACCTTCTCAGCCCCGGCATCTTTTTACTTAAATAAAAACAGAAATGAAAAATGATGGTGATGTTTTGGGCATCAGAAGCAAGCTAACCACAGGGTTGGGGGGAGTTGGCTGGAGGGAGGGTTGATCCTAGAATGACTTCCTCGCTTTCACTAAGTTCACTCCATGTGGGCATCTGTCTGCTCCTCAGCTGGGCTCCTGCACCCAGAGTGGGAGTCCTCCTTGATGAGGGCAGAGCCAGAGGAGCCCAGTGGCAATGTCGCCTATGCTGGTCAGTGGTGGCGGGTGGAGTCCCAGGGTCAACTATCACCAGCATCTCATTCCCAAACCTGGCTCTCCTGGCGCCCTGATGGGCACCCCTGCTCCCGTAAACTCTCACCAAAACCAACATAATTTTTTTCATTAAGGTTTGAAACTCCTTCCCCTGCTGCTTTCACATCTTGACCTTTTAAGCAAAGCTTCAAGGCCCAGAAAAGGAGCTCCCTTCAGCATTGCAGGGGGGTGTGAAGGCATGGAGTGACTCACAGGCACAGACTGGAATACAGAGCTTGCCGAGAGGAGGTGGGGAGCCTGGTGGTGCCATAGACATCATATTTGCCCTGCCCTTCCCAGGCTTACAGGGCTGGGCATTCTCTCGGGGTGGCTGAGCAGGGTGTCTTCAGGGGAATCTTCAGTGGGAAACAGCAGGTCCTGAAAGGCTGCCTTGGGAGACCAGTGTCTGTGTCCCAGGGTAACTTGGGGAGGTACAAGGGGTGGGTTGGTTCATGCTGATGGTGAAAGAATTCAACCACAGCACCAGATCCATTGGTGGGGGGCACCCCCGAGACCTATAGAAACACAAGGAAGTGTTTCATCTGGTTGTCCGGAAGAAGTCTGGGAATTCCCAATTCCCACAGCTGACTCGGACTGGATTTGCAATCTGCTTTTTAGTAGCCTTGATTAAGTATGCAAAATTAATGATCAGAGCTCTTAATTATTAATGTACGGGGATGCAGGGTCAGTGTCTCCCCGGAAGCCTGCCCAGAAGGGATTGCCTCTTAGGTGCAAAATTGGTTATTGAACTATTTAGAATATTGAGTTGAATTCTGCTGGGCAGGCCTCCCTGTGGAATGAAACAAATGAACCAGGATTCCAGGACACAGAGCAAAGGATGGGTCAGTGCCCCTGATGCCTGCAAACACAATTTAAAAAAAAATTGATTCCAAATTTTTTACTCACCTGGGTTCAAAGGAGCCCATTAAATTCTCCCCAAACTGGGTAGCCGTTCTTATAGCCAGTTGGAGGTTCAGGCTACTTTCTCATTGAGTGTGTGCGGGCATGTGTGCTAAGTTGCTTCAGTAGTGTCCAACTCTTTGTGACCCTCTGGACTGTAGCCCACCAGGCTCCTCTGCCTATGAGATTCTCCAGGCAAGGATACTGAAGTGGGTTGTTACGCCCTCCTCCAGGGGATCTTCCTGACCCAGGAATGGGACCCAGGTCTCCTGCAGTACAGGCAGATTCTTTACCATCTGAGCCACCAGGGAAGTCTGGGAAAGAGTGGAGATTACCACACACAGCATTTTTTCATGGGAGAGGTTAGTCTTTGAGATTTCCAAGACCAATTTAAGCTCATGTTTTCAACACTTTCTTTTTCATCTCCTTTCTATATTGTGGAAACAATGGATCCAGACTGGTTAGTGTCAGAAGTCCTAGAATCAAGGTGTCAGCAGGGCTGCACTCCTTCTGCAGGTTCCAGGAGAGAATCATGTTCTCACATCTCCAGCTTCTAGATGCACCCTCATTCCTTGGCCCCTGGGCCCTTCCTCCATCTCCAAAGCCAGCAGGGTAGCATCTTCATATTGCATTCCTCTCATCAGGACCCTTGTCATTACTACACTGGAGCCACGAAGATAATCCAGGACAATCTCAAGATCCTTAATCACTCCTTCCAAGTCTTTTGCATATGAGGCAATATTCACAGGCTCCAGAATTAGGATCTGGACTTCTTTATGGGTCTTAATTTAGCCTATCTCAGTCCACCCTCCCCCCTCCCAATCAATCCCTTTGTCTACCCCATCCCTCCTAACCAACAAACTTTCTTTCTATTGTTGCAAACCAGGGACGTGACCTTCAGTTTAGTTCAGTTGCTCAGTCGTGTCCGACTCTTTGAGACCCCAGGAATCGCAGCACGCCAGGCCTCCCTGTCCATCACCAACTCCTGGAGTTTACTCAAACTCATGTCCATCGAGTCGGTGATGCCATCCAACCATCTCATCCTCTGTCGTTCCCTTCTCCTCCTGCCCCCAATCCCTCCCAGCATCAGGGTCTTTTCCAATGAGTCAACTCTTCGCATCAGGTGGCCAAGTATTGGAGTTTCAGCTTAGCATCAGTCCTTCCAATGAGCACCCAGGACTGATCTCCTTTAGGATGGACTGGTTGGATCTCCTTGCAGTCCAAGGGGCTCTCACTCCGTAATTGTGACCATAAAGGGGACATGATGGAGAAACTTTAAGTCAAAGAAATGCAAAACCACAATTGAGGCATTAGGTGAAGTATATTTGATGTTTTAAAGCACAAGCACCAACAACTTGCAGAGCCTTCTAGTGGCCCAGAAGTCCCCTGCAGATTCTTGCTCATCCTCAGCTATCCTGTAAAGCATTGTCTTCGAGACAAATAAAGCTTGGCTTTTTTTTCCCCACCAACAATTGCTTTTTGTTGTTACTTCAATGAACACAGTATAAGGTACAACAAAAGCACAACATTTTAGCTCCATGTGGGGTAAATGGGATTTATGGGTGGGCCTGACCCTCTAACATCCATCTGTTCTGTCCACCGTTGGCAACGTCCCTGTGGAAGCACAGGTCTGGCGGCTGCCAGTCAGTTTCCAGATTCACTTCTGGGTTGCGGTCTGTCTGCAGGTTGGGGATCGACTATTATTATTTTAATGTTTTTAAAAATCTTTTTATTTATTTTTATTGAAGTATAGTTAATTTGCAATGTTTTTCATTCCTGTTATACAGCAAAGTGATTAGGTTTTCTATATATATATATATGTATGTATTCTGTTTTTAATAGCCTTTTCCATCATGGTGTATCATAGGGAGCTCAGCTGTTCTATGATGACCTAAAGGGATGGGATGGGCAGATGGGAGGGAGGCTCAAAAGGGAGGGGGTATGTGTTTACCTATAGCTAGCTGATTCACAGTTGTTGTTCAGTAGAAACTAACACAACACTGTAAAGCAATTATCCTCCAATTAAAAATATATATATATATATGTATATCCTATGATAAAACATAAAGGGGATTGGATATTCTTGACCAAAGCCCTGGGCAGTGCCCCTGGCAGGATGATTCCTGACTGCCCTGTGCTCTTATAAGGGGCTGGATAATAACTAAATATACAGAAATAAATGAGGCTGGCAAATGGAGCCTGAAACCCAAGTCAGCTTCCCTACAAAGTATGAGTTTGAGTTTCTTGGCAATACCTGACTTACATGGACTTTGGCTATCCATTCTACTTCTCTATTCTGACAACAGGGAATTGGATCACTAAAGAAAATCCTGGTCCCATCGGAGCTTACACTCTAATGAGGCGCAACCCTGAGAAACAATGTAAACTGCTCATATGTAAATTTCAGATAGTGATAAATGCCCATGGAAAATAAAGCAGGGGAAATGGTGAGGGCGACAAAGACAGACAAGTAGGGAGGATATCGGTGCTCCAAGGGCTTGTCTGAGGAGCGACATAATTGATGAGCAGAGAGTGGGGGTGGAGTGGGAGGTGTGGGAACAGCATGTTCAAAGGCCCTGGGGCAGGAATAAGCTTGGCTTGTTCAAGGGATTAAAACAGGCCAAAGTGACTGAGCATGGTGGATGGTAACAGGTCAGATCAGAGAGGTGGGCAGGCCAGATGCCTCAGGACTTCGAGGCCACATCAGGAATTTGGACTTGATTCCAATTTCCATGGCAGTCCTGGGAATTTTTAATCAGGGAGCAGCAAGATCTGACTTCTATTCTAGAAGGCTTCTGCTGGCTACGGTGAAAGACTGGACTCAGGGCTTTCGAATACTGTTCCCAAGTCTAATTTCCTTGATTAGCCAGGACATGAGAAGCGAAGGCTTTCAACAAACCTGGAGTTGAGGTTCAAATGCGGGTTCTGCTTCGTTCCAGTAGGTCATGACATTTTCACCAGGTAGCATTTGCATTTTCCCCTGAGTTCATTGCTTGATGCATCACACTGTAGCAAAATGGCAGGAAAGTACTTCTGTGAATCAGACCTCTCCATGACCTCTTAATAACAGCTTCCCTGTAACCCTGCTCCCTTTAGGAATGCCAAGTGGGCGCCTTTTTTCTTTCTGTGCCACAGAAACTGTCAGGTTACACGAAGATCGTACATAAAGCATTTGAAACAGAGAGGGCTTATGTAGCTACAAAAAAAAAAAAGCAAAAAACCCCATGACTTTGTGACAGTCTGTTATTGAAGTCATAATTCATGTTGTAATGTTTGGGGAGGAGGGGAAGAAATTAAAATTCTGTGGTTGGAATAAAGCATGCTGCACAATGAAAAAATAGCGGAGAAGAAATCAGGTAACTTCTCTCATCAAGGGCATGCCCTTGTCTGTTTCAAAGAAGCTAGAGGAGAGATTGAGGATTAGTAGAGCCTCCAGATGAGTTTTAAACATGGGAGTCCTGGGGCTTCTGGGCTGAAAATGGACATGGTTTCTGAGGTTATTGGAGCATCCATCCTCCAAATCCACGTGGTGCTTTGTTGCCATTTTTGTCCACTTTTAGGACAGAGGTGAAATTTAAGGCAAAAGAATTTAGTATGGCTACACAATTTGAGTAACATTTTGTGTCTGTTAGGATTTTCAGTTCAAAGGGACAGAAGACAATTCAAATTGACACAAGTTAACCAAAGGAATCTATTGGCCCAAGTAACTAGAAAGGAAAGCATTAGCTTCAGGCACAGCTTGATCTAGTTGCTCACACAGGACCCTGCTTCTCCATCTCCAGAGTCTATTCTCAGATGAGTTCTTCCCTCATGAATGCAAATGACAGTGTAGCTCCAACCTTTGTCTTTAACTTTCCAAGTACAGTGGGTGAATCTCTTCCCAGGGAATCTCTTCCCAGATTCCTGCACAGTCTAATATCTCGTTCTCCGTGTATGCTCCTGGCTTCTATACCCCTCCTCTCCCAATCCTCACATTCAGGGCATGGGATTATGCTGATTGGCCAGGCCTGGGTCACATCGCCAGACCTGATCCAATCACTGTGGCTGTGGTGAGGATGGGTGGGGTGAAGAGGGAGGCTGTGTACTGATTGGCCAGCCCTTGGTCACACATATTCACCCCAGCAGGAGTGGACCTAATACGAAGTCCAGGACTGAGGATGAGGGAGGGGAAGTCTCCAAAAAGAACTTAAAGGGGAACTGACAGACGACAGCTGGGGACAAGTACCCACTGCAGCTCATGTGCATATTGTAAACGCCCCTTCTCTCCATCCTTGCTACTTTAGGTGAAAGCAGAGTATGCTCGGCTTAAACACACGCTCACCATAGTGACCAGAGAACGTGATTTGGCCGTGAAGGAGAAACACCAGCTCCAAGCCAAGCTGGAGAACCTAGAACAGGTCCTAAAGGTAGGACACGCTTCCACTTCCGCTTTCCCCGGGGATCAATGTGAGGAACGAGGGGCCGCAGAATTCCAAAGCAGAGAGTGGTTGAAACTCCTTTTGAGTTTCAAAATCATAAAAATTCAGGGCTCTGTGGGGCTGTTTTTACCCTTTCTGTGGTATACAAAGCAATAAATAACAAAATTTGAATGTTTCTGGAAGCGATCCCGTAAAACCAATTATGCATTTCCATTTCTTAGAATGTTAAACACAGCTGAGCAAGAGATCTAGGCAGTGCTCCGGAATGGAAATTGGGCTTAAGTTGAAGACCAGAGGTGTCTGCATTGGTTTTTCAGATTTCATGAATTTTAAGCTGTTCTTCAGATGGTTAACGACCTTTGTTATAAAGAGAATAGCTAAGTCAGAAAATTGCTTTATCAAGCTGCAGGTAATTGGATAGCCTCATGCATTCCTGATGAGCTGGGATCTCCTTCAATATTTAATGGGTGGGTTGATTTGCTTTTGATATTACTGAGTTAAGCTGAATGAATTTGTTGCCTCTTTTTTTAAGTGTTAAAATTTTATTGGATTCTCATAGTGGGGAAAAAGTTTTAACATAAAAGAATAAAATAATCACCTGCAGTTCTACAATCTAGTACATAGATTAAGCATTTGTATTGCACAAGCTCAGAACAGAGTTATAGTATACCCACCCACCATCCTGCACGAGGAAGTGACTTTAAATCCATCTTTAGCTTATTTGGGGGAACTGTTAGAACCCTGAGGGGACTCAGATCCATGATTGGTAAGGACTAGGGTGAGGTACAAAATGGATACAGGGTTTCTTTTGGGTGTGATGAAAATGTTCTGGAATTAGTGTGATGATTACCAAACATTGTGAATGTACCAACACCTCTGAATTGTACACTTTAAGAAGTGAATTCTATGGTATGTGAATTATTACATCTCAATTTAAGAGTGCATGTGCATGCTCATGGGTAGTCGTGTCCAACTCTTTTCAACACTTTGGACTGTAGCCTGCCAGGCTCCTCTGTCCATGAGATTTCTCAGGCAAGAATACTAGAGTTGGTTGCCATTTCCTCCTCCAGGAGATCTTCCTGACCCAGCATGTCCATGGAGACACCTGAGTTCACATCCAGGTTCTGTCTGTGGTGCCCTGCAAACAGCCTCTCCTTGGCTGCCCTCTGGTCCAGGGGGTACACACCAGGCCTGTCATCAGCCTTTGGTGGGGGTGTAGACTAGGGAGGGGGACTGTGCAGGAGCTGAGTGTGAACTTGGGGACTTCGGGGTGTGGAATCCCAGGGTCTGGAGAGCTGGACTGTGGTCCGTAAAGAGAGAATGTGGGGTCTGGGTGGGCTCCTCCCTTTGGCTCCATTTCTAAGAGTGGAATTGGGTGATGAAACTTTAACTGATGAGCAGGGCATGGACAGCCATCAGTGGACACTGTCATCTTTGTCACCAGGAAGGCAGAAAGAGCAGGAGAGGTTAGAGGCTGTGAGGGGTCCATGGGGACAAGTGACAGTGTTATGGGCCTGGGATTCAGGTCACCGCCTCCCCTTGGTCACCAGCTCCTGCTACTGTTTTGTCCTGTTCTTCACTTGGCAGCCAGAGCAGTACTGTAAAACTAGAAATCAGATCCCAGCACCATCCTCAAACCATCAATGTGACCCTTCCTCCCACCCCAGTCACTTACCCAAAGCCTGGAGCCCTTACTGGCCTCAGCCCAGGCCGTGCGGTCACCCTCACCTCTTCAGACCTCTGTCTTCCACTCTCTGCCCTGATGCCATCCACTCCTAGCTTTATTTCTGGAACAAAGCCAGGCACTGAGTACCTTCAAAAAGTTCTTTTTTTTTTAACTTTTTATTTTATATTGGAGTATAGCCAATTATCAGTGTTGTGATAGCTTCAGGTGGACAGCAAAGGGACTCAGTCATCATACACATGTATCCTTTCTCCCCTCAACTCTCCTCCCATCCAGGCTGCCACATAACCTTGAGCAGAGTTTCTGGTGCTATACAGGAGATCCTTGTTGGTTATCCATTTAAAATATAGCAGTGTGTACATGTTGATCCCAAACCCCTTCATAAAATTCTTCTCCTCAGTACCCTTTAATGAGTGGATGAGCCATGGGACCCCCGCAGAGGGCTGAATTGCAGGACAAGCCCAACCAGGCTGGCCTGGGACAGGGGCCTTAGTGGAGGCAAACGGGGCTCTTTCTCAAAAGATTTGTGCTCCATGCAAAAAAAGGGAGACAGAAAAGATCTGGAGATTAGAAGAGGCATGTCCTTCGTAAAGGAGTTGATTCCATGGCAAGCTGGTTTTAGAAAAGGCAGAGGAACCAGGGATCAAATTGCCAACATCTGCTGGATCATCGAAAAAGCAAGAGAGTTCCAGAAAAACATCTATTTCTGCTTTATTGACTATGCCAAAGCCTTTGACTGTGTGGATCACAATAAACTGTGGAAAATTCTGAAAGAGATGGGAATACCAGACCACCTGACCTGCCTCTTGAGAAACCTGTATGCAGGTCAGGAAGCAACAGTTAGAACTGGACATGGAACAACAGACTGGTTCCAAATAGGAAAAGGAGTACGTCAAGGCTGTATATTGTCACCCTGCTTATTTAACTTATATGCAGAGTACATCATGAGAAACGCTGGGCTGGAAGAAGCACAAGCTGGAATCAAGATTGCCGGGAGAAATATCAATAACCTCAGATATGCAGATGACACCACCCTTATGGCAGAAAGTGAAGAAGAACTAAAGAGCCTCTTGATGAAAGTGAAAGAGGAGAGTGAAAAAGTTGGCTTAAAGCTCAACATTCAGAAAACTAAGATCATGGCATCTGGTCCCATCACTTCATGGCAAGTAGATGGGGAAACAGTGGAAACAGTGTCAGACTTTATTTTGGGCGGCTCCAAAAATCACTGCAGATGGTGACTGCAGCCATGAAATTAAAAAACGCTTACTCTTTGGAAGGAAAGTTGTGACCAACCTAGACAGCATATTAAAAAGCAGAGATATTACTTTGCCAACAAAGGTCTGTCTAGTCAAGGCTATGGTTTTTCCAGTGGTCATGTATGGATGTGAGAGTTGGACTGTGAAGAAAGCTGAGCACTGAAGAATTAATGCTTTTGAACTGTGGTGTTGGAGAAGGCTCTTGAGAGTCCCTTGGACTGCAAGGAGATCCAACCAGTCCATCCTGAAGGAGATCAGTCCTGGGTGTTCATTGGAAGGACTGATGCTGAAGCTGAAACTCCAATACTTTGGCCACCTGATGCGAAGAGTTGACTCATTGGAAAAAACCCTGATGCTGGGAGGGATTGAAGGCAGGAGGAGAAGAGGGCGACAGAGGATGAGATGGCTGGATGGCATCACCAACTCAATGGACATGAGTTTGAGTAAACGCCGGGAGTTAGTGATAGACAGAGAAGCCTGGCGTGCTGTGATTCCTGGAGTCACAAAGAGTTGGACACAACTGAGCAACTGAACTGAACTGATTCCATGGCAGTTGAAGGAAAGTGCGTCTTGTGAATTTGCAAAACCCTGTGGGGCCTGCCCTTTTCTTACACTGGGCACTGAGAGCCTTTTGGCCTGAGAGCAGGAGGGAAAAAGATCAGGGAGGTGACAATCCTGATAGAGTTGCTGAAATCCCTGGACTCTTGGACAGAACCTGCTAAACTTGGCTGCTTTCAAAGAACCACTCTCAAGCCAGGAAACTCCATGTTTTGTCAGCATTGCTTCAACTTGGACCAGTTGAATACACCATGTTCTTCTGATAATTTGGTCATGGTAATAAAAGGGCTATTCAAAATTAGCCTTTTTTTCCAATTTGGTGAAAGCGAAAGTGTTAAGGCTCAGTAGTGTATGACTCTTTGCGACCCCATGGACTGTAGCCTCTGCCCGGCTCCTCTTTCTGTGGAATTTCCAAGGCAAGAATATTGGAAGGGGTAGCCAGTCCTTCTCCAGGGGATCTTCCCGACCCAGGGATTGAACCTGGGCCTCCTGCATTGCAAGCAGATTCTTTACCATCTGAGCTACCAGAGAAGCCCATTTTATTATTTTTTAAGAATTTATTTAATTGACGTATAGTTGACTTACAATATTGTGCTAAATTCTGCTGTACATTAAAGTGATTCAGTTATACATATGTATTCTTTTCCATTATGGTTTATTACAGGATATTGAATAGCGTGCCCTGTGCTATACAGTAGGACACTGTTGTTTATTCCTTCTCTATATACTAGTTTGCATCTGCTAACCTCAGACTCTCAATCCATTCCACACACCCAACCCCAACCTTTAGCCTTTTTTCCTCCTTCAGCAGCAAAGCCCATCAGTGGGCGATGGAGAAAGGAGGAGGTGATTGCCGTGCTGAGCTGAGATGCAGCTGACTTGACTTAGGAAACGCTATCATTTCTGTTAACTCAGGTAAAATGATGACCTTGCATTTCCAGAAGTTCCTGGACATCCTCACAATTCCTGGAGTGTGATGTATGGTCTGAGGTTGTCATTGATTTGATTATTAAATTGAATCCCCAGACTGGTGTTGGTCAACCTAATTTGCTGAGAACCAGAGAGATCTCTGTCCATGGGCTTCTCCAGGCAAGAATACCGGCATGGGTTGGCATGCCCTTGTCAGAAATGACTGAGGTGATTTAACATGCACACGCAAAGAGAACTTGCCCAGTGAGGGGGAATTTGGGTGGTGCAGGATTCCAGCCTCAGCATACCTACAGCGGAACCTGGACCACATGGCTGACCCCTGACCCTCATCTGGGAGAAGCAAAGATGCTGTGCCGCTGGTTTGGGATAGGAACTGGTGACCAGCTCACAGAATCACCTCATCCCTGTTTTTTCACGAAACTGGGAATATGTAGCTGCTAAGTCATGTCCAACTCTTTGCGACCCCGTGGACTATAGCCTGTCAGGTTCCCCTGTCCATGGGATTCTGCTTGCACAGATAATATGAATGGAAGGAGAAAATTCAGATAAAGAGAAAGGAG